ACATATTCGGGCTTTTGCAATAATTTGATTTGGTGAGATAAGGTTTGGTCCAGATGGGACATTTAGAAGGATAAATTTTTTTTTTGAAAGAATAAGGTTGGATTCAGGATGATAAAACCTTTTTCTTTTTGCCGTCCCTTTTGAGGTCCACCGATGGTGTTACGTAGTATGTAACTATTGCAGGCATCCATCATAAGGTCTGCAAAGCAGCAAAAAGGGGAGTTCTGAATAGTCTGGTGTCCAATTCTTATGGTTGGAAGGATGAAATCTCTTTGAGACATTTCTAGATTACTAACATCTAACCTTGTAATCCTTTATTATTGAATGATTATCATGCTTCATTAATTGCTGGTTATTATTGTGATGGTGTATTGGATAGGGAAAAAGGGACGGGGTATGTCTGCATTTACTAGGCATTCAAAGCTCATGGTGTTTCATGCCAGGTTTTGAAGACTATTAGACCGATCAAAGGCAAAGCTGAAGTATTTGAAGACGTATGGCTACCCTATGAGAGTTCGGAGCTAGTATTATAAACACATTTTGAGATTGTAAGTGATTAATTGCTTGTTGTATTTAAGAGAAGATCTCGTAATTATTATATATATCATTTGTAATCTATCCTTATACTCCGTCAATTCATGTAGATCTTGTGTTAATACCTTGTCAAGATCTGTCAAAAATGTAGTTTTTCTATCTAAGGTATATTGACTCCTCTGACCTTCCTGAGATCTTGCTTGGTTATTAGACAAATGACTCATTAGTGACGTTTCCTACTCTAATAACCTTAGATAAACCCTATATTTATTTGTTGATATATTCTCTGATGTTCCCAATTTTTGGGACGTCACATCTAATGGTGAGAGTCTTTGACTTGGAGATGTCCACATGAGAGCCTCCCTTAGGCCTAGTTTTGTGATTTGTTTTATGACTACTTCTTCTCGAGGGTTTAGCAGGAAAAGAAGAGAGAGGACTTCTTACAATTTCATTAGAGGGACTTGTCTGTGAGCCAATATGAGGCTTAGTTCTCTTCACTTAGCTAATTTACCTAGCAATTCATCCCTAATGATATACACGAAGAGCTATGCAAATGAACAATTTGGATCATCAAAACAGGACCCGTGGTGGGTCTCACAAGTGCCTTAATATCTTCAAATTGAATGTCAAATTGAGAGAAGCCTAGTCCATTTATATATTGGGATAGATATAGAATAATAATATTAAATTAATTTTCCAACTATATTGACAAAGTTGTGTCTTTTTTACACACAATTTTTCAAACACGAGTTGCTTTAAATTTATTTCCAAAACTCAAGTTATTTTTAAAATGTTTCAGTTTTTCTCAAATTCAAATCTTGAAGTTGAGAGAATTTGAGAGACTTTTGAGGCCCACCATGAGTTTTGGTTCAATGATCCGAACTATTCATTTTGTAGGGCCCACAGTTGATTTGATAATAATAATCTTTTTCATGATAAGATGAAAAAATATTCACCATGTTTGTTTCTAGTTTTTTGAAAACACTTTTTAGAAAATTCTAATTTCTTGTTTTTCATATTTTTTTTGTTTTTTTGTTTTTTGATTTTTTTTAATATTTTAAGCAATTTTTTAAATTTCAGACACACCTAACATAAACACACTTAAAAGGTATAATTTTTGTAAAAAAGTATTTAAAAAAATTCACTAAATACCAAAAATACAAAAATATATATATATATATATATATTAATTGAGTTAGTACTCATTCTTTTGTGTCCAAGTGTTGGCTTGGAAAGATGTAAGCCCTTAGGGCATTTACTTTTGATGTTACATGTGATGCCTTTCAATAAAAGTACTCTGATGGATAATTTAATGACTTGTTTTAATTTATTAATGCATGTTAATATTATATATTATGGGTTTATTTTGAGGGCGTTACAAACACACTGATTGCGATTATTGAATCGTTCTAATTTTTTTTCATGGATAATATATGTTGAAGGGCCTATAAAATAAGCTATTCAAATCATAGAAACGAGACCCTTGGTGGGCTATACAAGCCCCTTAAGTTCTCTCATGTTTTCATTTTTTAGTAGGGCATTTAGACCAGAGGTCTATTTGTGAAATTGTTGGGCCAATAGGTCCAAACTTAAACCTTTTTTGGGCCAAAAAGATACCTATCTGTCTATCTATTCAATGTCACTTGTCTATCCAACTATTTGTTCAAATGAAAAACTACCTATTCAAATGTCATATATATGTACACGTGTTACTTATCTATTTACCTAATTGTTCAATGTGACCAATTTGTGTACCTCACCACCACTAGTTGAGGGTCATTGCCAGTTGCTGTCTGCCAACAACTTTTCTCGTAACCTTTTCAACCAATTTTCCAGTTACTTTTCCGGCAACCTTTCAATGTGTGTCCTTATCATGAAAAAAGATTAAACCTTAAGTTAAATAACATATGACCCCACACAAATGAACTTTTCACAAATTAACCCTTTTCAATATCATATTTTCAAACACAATTTTAATTATTTGAAATTGTGTCTTAAAAGTAAGGTTTGAGTTTTAAAATTGAAGTTATGTTTTAACTTCAAATTATAACATAAATTTAAGAAGTTTAAAATAGGTAAGGTTTCTCTCATGTTGGCTATCTTAATTTGAGAGAGTGTTTGGGTTTGATAGGTCCATTTTATTATCAACTTAGGTGATCTGAACCGTTCATGTTTTAAGACTCATTGAGTAAAATATTCATGCAAAAAATAAGATGATTGGATATTGATAGTTATATATTTGAATCAAATTTGTATTATAAAAAATGAATGGCTTTTCTTGAAATTATATTTGGAATTCATTTTTTTAAAACAAATATGATTCAAACATATAGCTACTGATATTCAATCTTTATTTTTTATATGAATATTCTACCCAACAAGTCCTAAAAAATGAACGGTTTGAATCACCAAAATCGATACCATAATGTGCTTACCAAGCTCTCAAATTGATATGACAATTTGAGAGAAGTCAAATCCTTTAAAATAATTTGAATTCAAAAAATCTATTTTAAAATAATATGAATTAGGTAGAGCAACAACCATGATTTCTCGTAGGCCTCGTTTGTTTGGCTCCATAGGATTGAGGAGATTAGGAGTATGGTGGGATTAAGTGATGAGATTATTAGTGTGGTTGTAATAGGTTAGAGATGTAGGATAAAGAGTGTTTGTTTGTACACTATCATAATAGAAATGCGACAGATAGTATTAATATATAAAATTAATATTTTTTTTCTCATAGGGTAATGTTGCGCAACATATGTAAGTTATGACATTTATATGATTAATTAGTATAAATATCGTAACTCAATTTTATGAGTCATAATAAAATATTAAAAAAAATATATAACAAAACACTACATAGGATATAATGAATGAATTCTTGATTCAGAATCAAAATAATGTCATAATTAGTATTAGAATAATGTTATATGTACTAATTAATGTAGTAACTAGTATACTAACAGATGATGTGACATAATTTTAGAGGTTTTCGATATTTGTAATTTGTATAATAGGGAAGATCAGTGTACTAATGTGTACATTAATTAGTACATGTAACACTACCGTTAATATTAAATCTTAATTAATATTCTAATATATGATAATTAAAACTACAAAAATCATAACTAGGATGAATAGAATTTCCATTCCATGCATTTATTTTCCTCGGCCGTAAGGTACCTTGCGGTGCTCAAAACCATAAAAGTAAAAGGAAACACTGCTTAACGGGTACGCAACGGTCTCCCAAGTCAAACACAAAAGGAGCCGTCTGTGGACACGTGTTTTCATTTAAAAACAGATGATTCATCGTGATTCGCATCCCAAAAATTTTAGAAATCTAAAAATTTTATTAAATATTTTACATATGCGTGAGATTTACATAGACCTATTATATGAATTCTACATTCATATAAGATCTTTAATAAAATTTTTGATAGAATTTTTAGACCTTTACGTTACTATTCGCATCCTTAACCAGTAAGTAAGTAATTTTGGGCCCTCAATGATTTGGAGCTACTTTTTGCACTGGTTTGCTGTGTGGGTGAAGAAGTGGAGATGTCTTGGTCTGAGATGCTGCAGTGGTTTGCTTCTAGCTGCTACAGTATTTGTGGGAAGCTTGGGCTCAAGGAGTGGGGTTTATGAAACTATAGTTGAGTCTTGATGATTATGGTGGAAGCTGGTTGCTAATGGTTGCTCTCTGCAATAGCTGCAATTTTGGTTTTGCTTTATTAGCTAGTTTGATGCTGGGAGTTGATTAAGTTGGTGAATGGAGTGCTAGTTTTCTAATACTCAGGGTAATGGGGCAACTGTTGGTATATTGGCTGTTTTTGGTTGCAAAATTCTGTGTTGCTACTGAACTGGTTTTGTGCTACAGAGTTCTCCATCAGGTGATGCTCAAGTAGTGGAGGCTTTGCAAACAAAGGCTTTTGCTAGATGTTAGCTATTGGTGACCTTTTGTTGTGCTGGTTTTTGTGTTGTCTGTTGCTTTTTGTTTTGTTTTTCTTCCGGTTGGTTGCTCACCAACTGTGATGGTGTGCTTGCAAGGGATTAGACGGTTATATTGGTGCCAACTTAGTTGGGATTGGTATGTTCTCTATGATACTTTTGTACCCATCTATTTCCTTTTTTTGGTATAATGTTTTATCGTTCATCAATAAAGGTTTTTTTTTTTTTTTGCCAATCAAAAAAAAAAGTAAGTAATTTTGGGGACCCTCTATATATTTAGTATTTCCACCCGACTTGACTGACTTTCCTCTTTCTCACTATTTCCTTTTTTGGTATAATGTTTTATCGTTCATCAATAAAGGTTTTTTTTTTTTGCCAATCAAAAAAAAAAGTAAGTAATTTTGGGGACCCTCTATATATTTAGTATTTCCACCCGACTTGACTGACTTTCCTCTTTCTCACACTTTCTCTTCTCTTCTTTAAATTATTTTTTGCGCGCTTAGTATTGTGGCACGAAAATGGACCTCCGACAATCGATCAACAGGCAAACAGGCGTCTCGTTGGCCATCGCGAAGCAAGTGGTGCTAAGCGAGGCCAAGGACTCGAACCTCGTCTTCTCTCCCCTCTCCATCCACGTTGTCCTGAGCTTGATCACCGCTGGCTCCAAACCCCCAACCATTGACCAGTTGCTCTCCTTCCTCAACTCCAAATCCTCCGACAAACTCAACTCTCTCTCTTCGCAGCTCGTCTCCCTCGTCTTTGCCAATGGTGGACCCACCGGTGGTCTGAGGTTGTCCTTCGCCAACGGGGTGTGGGTAGACCAATCTCTCTCTCTCAAGCCTTCTTTCAAACACATTGTCGACACTGTCTACAAGGCCGCTTCCAATCATGTCGATTTTCAGACTAAGGTAACTTCTCTCTCTCTTTCTCTCTCTCTCTCTCTCTCTCTACTACAACATCCTTATAATTACCATAATGTTAACTGTAGAACTTTAGAATTGATTGGTAAACAAGCTATCTATCTGGAATTCTACGAGCTTTTCTATGGTGAAATATGGAAGCCTAGATGTTTAATTAGATCAGTATCAGTGTCAATAAACCCGAATAAAGATTGGCATTTCGACTGTGTTGACCATTTGCAAGAGCATAGGGGGTAATTCCTACTTTGATTGCATCTTTCTACTATTTTTTTTTTATTTGAAAAAATAACAGTTCGGATTTGCAAGAAAAAAAAAGAAGACAAACTTATAACAAAAATACCAAACACCATATGAGGTGCATAACCAAAAATCTCATCAATCAAAACTAATATATTGTCACAACTAATGAAAAATTGGTCGTAACTGAATAAAGAATTTTAGAAAATGGTATAACTAGGGGTGGTTATGGTACACCCTTTCAAGGGGTGTGTATGGTAGAATTTCCCAAAAAATAATAAGAGTTTGTGTTCCTTCCAAAACAATAAATGACCATTAGCTTTGAAATGTAACTGTTGTCCAAACAAATTTGAGCTGAAAGAAAATTTTGTTCAGGGTGTTGTGCCCAGGGAGAAACAACTACCAATACACGCTATCAAAGACAACAAGATTTACGTGGTTCAATAGTGCACCTATGACCATAGGGAGAGAAAAAAAACAAAAAACAAAAATATTAACTAACGATAAACTCAATACATAGATTACACATAGGAGTTACTTAGCTCTACTTGTAGACCGCCCAAACTTCCTCCGCGCACCCCCCTTTCGGAGAGGGCGCGAATTGGGTTCTAGCTACTACAGTTCAGACTCCTATCACGATTCTGAATCTAATCTCACAAAGTGCAATGTAAGACTAATAAATCACCAAAGAGTCCAAATTCGGAAAAATGTTTTGGAAAATCGATTTTAATCAAAAAGTGTCAATCATAGACTGCTTTGCCAGATTTCACCTAAATATTTTATTTTGGGAAATTTTGGAAACCCTGACTCGTGCCTAAGGCCACGTGTCCGTCATGACCAAAGTTGCCTCGGCTCGGGAACTTCGGTACAAGAGGGGAAGGTCCTGAAATGAGCACCCCCGCTCGCCCGATCAAAGGATCGGCCTCTACTACTCATGATATGTTGTTTTGAAAACACATGTGTTCTTATTCCGGTTATTTAGCTAACTTACTAACTTACAAGTATTCTTATTTAGCTAACACATGTGTTCTTATTTAGCTAACTTACAAGTATAGACTAAATCACTCAATTTGGAACAACTCAACTCATGTTTCCGATCAAAGGATCGGCCTCTATTACTCTTGATATGTTGTTTTGAAAACACATGTGTTCTTATTCCGGTTATTTAGCTAACTTACTAACTTACAAGTATTCTTATTTAGCTAACACATGTGTTCTTATTTAGCTAACTTACAAGTATAGACTAAATCACTCAATTTGGAACAACTCAACTCATGTTTATTTTTTTGAAAATGGTTTGAAAGTGCTACTCGTAAGTAGGTTAAAGCGCGGATTTGCCACCCTTAAGTGGGCTTGAAAACATGATGATTTTGCCCCTCTGCAAAATGGGCTTCAAACGCACATTTGATGAATTGTTCCAATTCAAGCAATAAAGCCTTGATCCATAGGCATTCGTGCAATTAATCATTTAAGCAAGTAGCCTCATGGCAAGCATGCTATCATGGCAGTCACTTACACACATGCAAGGATGCTAAAGCGAAAACACTTACAGTGTACTCTGAACCAAAACAGAAAACTTGTTAGAAATCAATGCATGATCCTAACTATGTTAAGTGCCTAATGCAACACATACAATAATGCAACTAAATAGGCTCGGCTATCTAATATGGCATATGAATGCAACAATTCGATAACATGCTTTTAAAACACGTATTCAAATATGTATTGAAATACAATGCAGTTTGAATGATGCGCTGAGCCCAGTGCATGCAAGACAAATGAATGAATGCAAACATGCAAGCATAAGATGTGTTAATTGAAATATGCCCTAAACTAACCATTGTAAGCGGTTAAATAAATGGGAGAAAGACGTGGTGTAATACCCCTGTTCCGTAATATGTTAATTGGTCCTTAACATAATGTGATTATGTATTTTGATATGATTTGGTGTTCTACTATGTGAAAATATGTGGTTTGAAATTTTATCTGTTCATCGTAGGAATATCTGTTTGAGTAGTCTGCTTTGGAAAATTAATTGAGGGCCTTATCGGCCACGGAAACCGAAATTGATTACGCCATTGTGGTTGGCATAATTTTTAGAGCCTACGGTGAAATTTAATTGGATACAATAATCCAACTAAATAGGCTCGGCTATCTAATATGGCATATGAATGCAACAATTCGATAACATGCTTTTAAAACACGTATTCAAATATGTATTGAAATACAATGCAGTTTGAATGATGCGCTGAGCCCAGTGCATGCAAGACAAATGAATGGATGCAAACATGCAAGCATAAGATATGTTAATTGAAATATGCCCTAAACTAACCATCGTAAGCGGTTAAATAAATGGAAGAAAGACGTGGGGTTGGAAGACATTCACACACACACGCATACTTATTACAACAATATGCCCTAGCAAAGGAGGGTCCGAATACATAAGAACTAAGCTATGCTAAGCTGAGCTACTTATTACAAAACAACTAATTAACTAACTTAGCTAATTAATTAGTACAAACCAAATGAGATTGAATAACTAGCTAATCTAAGCTAATTAGAATATTACAAAGACGAATTGAATTAGCTAAACACATTAACTAATTAATTACAAAATCAGTAAATTAACTAGCTAAGTAAAGCAGTAAAATGGCCACGAGAGAGGATGACATGCATGCTCGGTGTGCTTCACCCAAAAATGCATTGCCTTGCCATGAGTTGCCTCTGTCTGCACTCATTGTGATCTCTGAAAATTGTGCCAACCTCCAGACTGCCTTTACTTTAAAACAGGAATCTACTGGTGGGCTGCCAGCCAGAAAAAGTGGCTGCCAGCCACTAAAATTGGCCGGTCGGCTAGTTGCTTCTCTAGGCTTCTAGTTTTGCTGCAACAAAGAGCAATAGAGCCAAGACAATGTATTTGCAAGGAAATGTGTGTGCAGCTACTCTCCTTATCATGCCTCAAGCTCAAAGAAGCGTAGTACTCGGCTCTCAAGCCACCAACCACGCATCTCAATGCATGCTGGCCAAAGAACCAAGCTTACACAAGCTTAGTGAATGCACAAACAATACACAAAATGCCTCCACCCTATCATGCATGATCAAGGGTGTTGGCGACCAAGAAATATGGCATGTTTCATCACTTTGAGTATGAAACGTCCCACATTTCTCGTGTTTGGATTAATGTCCGATCCAAACACAATGCAATGCAAACAACATGCTTATCTTTCAATGCTAAAGTGGCATGCATACGACTCTATCATGTAAGCAATGCATGCAAGACATGTTAAAGGCCAAGAGCACTAAAGCTAGTGAAGTGTATTACACATGAGGCATGCACTATCAATCTCAAATGGTCAAACTAGCTATGGTCAGACCTTATGCATGCCAAAATAGTGGTCAAAATGCTCTAAAATGATAGCATGGAAGGCAAGAAAATGATGTGCATGCATTGTCTCATCAACAAGGCATGAAGCACAACTCTTAAACAAAATTAAAGAGTGATATACATGAGAGCATGATAGAGGTATAAGCACTAAAATTACATGTCAAATGATGACATATCATGCGAACATCACAAGTATAGCATGCTAGAGGGCTTAAAGTAGTAAAGGTAGCGAAGTACACAACACTAAGGCTATGCAATACAATGCACAAACAACCAAACCAACCAAAAACAGAGTTATATCATGCCAAAACAATAGCCTAAATACGCTGAAATTAAGGCATAGAACACAAGGAAAGCATGCTCATTTGATGGCCCGCAAGCAAGGCATGAAGACTCAACTCTCAAATGCAATGAAAGAGTGATATATGTGAGAGTGAGACAATGATATATGCTCTGAATTTACATGCCAAATGATGCCATATCATGCAAACATCACAAATAAGGTATGTTAGGGGCTTCAAAACAAGAGACTAGCAAGGCTAACTATACTATAGCTATACAAAGCATGAACCACATGGCCAAAACTATTCAAAACAGTTCTTAGCTAGTACAGTTCGGACTCCTGTCACGGTTCTGAAGCTAATCTCACAAAGTGCAATGTAAGACTGATAAATCACCATAGAGTCCAAATCCGGCAAATCGTTTTGAAAAATTGATTTTAATCAAAAAGCGCCAAACGTGGACTGCTTTGCCAGATTTCAGAGTTGCCACCTAAATATTTTATTTTTGGGAAATTTAGGAAACCCTGACTCGTGCCTAAGGCCACGTGTCCGTCATCACCAAAGTTGCCTCGGCTCGGGAACTTGGGTACGAGAGGGGAAGGTCATGCAATGAGCACCCCCGCTCGCCCAATCGAAGGATCGGCCTCTACTAACATGATATTTTGTTTTTTAAAACACGTGTTCTTATTCCGATTTATTAGATTAGATTAGCTTACTATGTGATGCGCACAACATACAAGTATAGACTAAATCGCTCAAGTTGGAACAAAACATCTCATGTTTGTTTGTTTGAAAATGGTTTGAAGTTGCTACTCGCAAGTAAGCTAAGACGCAAATTTTGCCACCCTCAAGTGGGCTTAGAAAACATGATTTGCCACTCTCAAGTGGGCTTAAAAGTCTCATTTCGATGAATTGTTCCAATTCAAACAATGAAGCCTTCATCCACAGGCATTCATGCAATTAATCACTCAAGCAGATAACCTCATGGCAAGCATGCTGTCATGGCAGTCACTTACACGCATGCAAGGATGCTAAAGCAAAAAAGCTTACCTAGTACTCCGAGCCAAAACAGAAGCTAGTTAGTAATCAATGCATGATCCTAGCTATGTTAAGATGCCTAATGCAAACATGCAAAAATGCAACTAAAATAGACTCGGCTATCTAGAATAGCATATGAATGCAACACTTGATAACATGCTTTGAAACACGTATTCAAGTAAGTACTAAGATACAATACAGTTTGAATGATGCGTCGAGCCCGGTGCATGCAAGACAAATGAATGATGCACGCATGCAAACATAAGTATGCTAATTGAAACATGCCCTAAAACTAACCATCAAAAGCTGGTAAATAAAAGGGAGAAAGACGTGGGGGTTGGAAGACATGCATCACACACACGCACGCTTATTACCACTGTTGTGCCCTCTCGACGGAGGGTCCGAATAATAAGCTAACTAGCTAATCTAAGCTAATTAAACTAATTATTACAAAACGAAACTAATTGACTAATCCTAGTTAACTAATTAGTTATTACAGCACAAATTGAATAGTTAAGCACATTAACTAATTAAGTACAAAACCAAAGCATTAGCTAGCTAAGTAAAGAAGCTAAGTAAAGCAGTAAAAGAAGAGGTCCTCAGGGCGAGAAGTGCATGCATGCTCGGTCGCCTCGTTAGGAAATCCATCGCTATGCTCCAACTTGCCTCTGTTTGCAATTGTTCTCAGGACACTGCGCAAAGCTCCAAATAGCTTCTACTCTATCATGGGAACCTCCAGGAGC